TGCCTGGAGAAGCTGAGGAAGACAGCGAAAAAGAACTGTTGTCCGGCTTGCTCACTTAGGAGTACGGAAGGTCGTGTTAGTACGTCTCAGCACCTACTTCTTTTGCAGTCGGTCCGTCCATTAGCACTTCGGAATAGAGCGGTCGCTCTGCATGTAAAACACTACCCTCATTGTCAGCCCCTAAACAGGCGATTCCCATGCGAGTTGAGACCATAAATGGTCTCTTTGCGAACCAAGTTTCGATAATGGGGACAGCTAATGTTCTACAAGGAATATCTGGAAGTAACTCATTCTCCTGCTCCTATTCCTGATTGGGAATATTCTTGTGTGTTGGAGGTCCTCACGCCTAGAATGTGACTCCGTGTAGTCTCGTAGATCGTTACGAGTGTTTCGGAAGACCTTGAATTTAGGGGCAGCAAATTACCCCGAAATTTTGGTAGCGGTTTACCACACTACACGGTGTTACATCGCAGAGAACAGTAATCTCCACCAATTACTGAAGCCATATTCAGAAGTTGTCCGGTATTTTGGAGTAATATATTGCTTCCATCTTCAGGTTTTAAATAAAAGCGAAAAAAGTAGTCAGCAAGGGGGCAAGTAAAATCGAAGCATCGGTGAACATTTCCAGGACTACACTTTGTTACATGCCAGAAGACAGTATGTTTCCTAATCAGAGTTAGATCCAAGTTCATGTAGATTCTAAACGGTTGTGATGATGGTGTGTAACATTTTGAATTACTGTGTCTTTGGACTTCGTCAATCATCCGGTATTCTAAAGAACACAGCGTTTCGGAAACTGGATCTGTTTGCATCCTCAGGTGAGGGGGTAGACACACATTCTGTTCGGTTTCCAAGAAAGAGTTAACCAAAACACTGGACAACCCATGTCAGTGTTCACTGCAGCTATATTTTCACCCCCCCCTTTCTCTCTTAGTTTCATGTCTGTGTATGCTCTATCGCAGTTTTTATTGCGTACTTTCCCGTTATCTCCCACTGACAAAGCCGGGTGTCAGTTATTTAAATAGCTGTAGTTGTCTTGACGCCGGTCACGGTAGCCATGAGGTCTAATGCATGTACTGTCGTCGCTCGCTTGGAAGCCGGGATCGTGGGTTCGAATCCCACACAAGGCATGCATGTTTTGTTGTTTGTGTGTGTTTATTCTGTGTTTTTGTGTTGTCCTGTGTTTAGGTAGAGGCCTTGCCATGAGCTGATCACTCATCTAAGGAGTCCTACCGTCTGTAAAATGACCAAAATAAAGAAAACAACCTCGACACCGTAGGGTATAAGAGGAACGGATTAAATAAGTAACTTACACTGAGATGGGTTGTCCAGTGATAAAGGTTAGTTCTTTCTTAGGGACCCAACAGAGTAGATGTCTCATCCCTCACCTGAGGAAGGAAACAGATCCAGTTTTCGAAACGCTGTGTTCTTTAGTTTTCATAATATCGGATGATGGACGAAGTCCAAAAATCCGATAATTCCTAATGAATTCAATTAACTACGCGGAGTCGTGTTCTTCTCGAGGAACATCAGATCAGAGCTATTTTAATTAATACATTTTAAAATCTGTATTATCATAATTCTATATGATATGTGTACTCCCCACAAATCACTTAATGACGGCCTGTCTCGTCCGAGACATTTTGTGAATGGAATAATAAAAGCATTTGTTTGTGTGACGATAACCCCTCCGTCTGTATTGGTTAATTAGTTGTTGTGAAAGCCAGAAGGAAAGAGACCATTAGGAAGACCGAGACGTAGGTGGGTGGACAATATTAAAATGGATCTTAGAGAGATAGGATAGGGTGGTCTGGGCTGGATTGATCTGGTTCAGGATAGGGACCTGTGGAGGGCTCTTGTGAACATGGTAAAGAACCTTCGGGTTCCGTAAAATGCTGGGAAAGTTCTTAAGTAGCTGCACAATTGGCGGCTTATCAAGGAAGGCCCAGCTCCATGAAGTTAGTTATGCTTTATGGCATGTCTGCCACGTGTGATCGAAGGAGAGAGCTTTGTTTCTGCACTATCGCAGTTCCTTTGTCCCAACTACACAGCAGGGCCACTGGGGCAACTATTGATTGCCCTGACACCTCGTGAACATGGAGAAAGCAGAAGAATGTAGGCCAAATGTCAGTGGATTTCGAACAGCACGAAAAATTCTTTTATTCATATCATTTGTCATTTCTTTTGTTTGTTATAGATAAATCGCACTTAATCTAAAATTTTTTAGAACGAAGTTAGTTTCCCTTGGCGTTTGATATTATTAGCCCCTGAGTCAAATGTTATAAATATGTCCGGAAGACCCGCTGTTCTGCGTGTGGTCTATACATATCATACATGAATAATTAATATGCGTGTTTAATGCCATTGATTTCTTTCGTGGTGACGTAGGATATCGTAGTGACTGTTAACCCATGCTACAAAATAGCAAGCTCTTGTAGTCACACGCGTGCGCACATTGAATGAAATGTCTGCTGTAAAGGAAACAGCCAGAATCATGACAAATTTTGTTACTGCTTTTCGCTGCTACTACCGCGGCAGGGTGGGCCATTGGGGTCTGAGTTTCAGAGTGATGTGATTTCATAGAAGTGGGTTTGGCCTATCGCAAGGCCTGTGCCTGCGTAGGACAATAAATACGGGCGTACTTCTGGGCACTCCGAGGAACCCCAACCAACAATCTCATTGCTCGGGCGACTGAACCTACGCGTTTGGGCTTGCGGCCTCTGTGATCGGTACTGCTACTACTACTACTACTACTACTACTACTACTACTGTCATCACCAGTACTTCTGCTACTACTACTACTGTCATCACCAATACTACTGTCACTACTACTGACATCACCAATACTACTGTCACTACTACTGACATCACCAATACTACTGCCACTACTACTGTCATCACCAGTACTACTGCTACGACTACTACTGACACCACCAATACTACTGCCGCCACCGATACTACTGCTACTACTACTGTCATCACCAGTAATACTGATACTAACACTACTGGTACTACTCCTGCCATCACCGATACTACTGCCACTGCCACTGTCATCACCAATACTACTGCTACTACTACTGTCATCAATACTGTTACTTCCATCATTAAGTACTACTGCTGCCACCAATACTATTGCTACTACTACTGTCACCACCGATATTACTACTGCCTGCCACAAATACTACTGCTACTGTCATAACCAATACTACTACTGACAAACAATACTGCTATTGCTGCTGCTACTACTACTACTCGTACTAAGTTAAGAGTGTGGAAGACCTTGGAAAAATTGAAATGTGAATTATGAACATTCTGGATTGTTTTATGCCAAGAAACAAAGAACTAACAAGTTGTCCCTCTACATAATTAAGGTCCACTCCATGAAGAGTCATGGACGAGTGGAGGTATTGCTCCACCATTCTGACCTAGGCATTAGTTGGAGATTATTAGCCAGCTTCACAACCCGATCGCTTTGCCTCCGGTACCCATTGAACAGGAGGCTGGGTGGGTCTCAGGGCCGGTCTGGACGTTGTGGGGAAGAGAAAAATCTCTTTCCCCTCCCGAGAACCGAACCCAGGCTGCCCAACCCATATCCAGCCACTGTACTGACTGAGCTTTCGGGGCTCAATTACAGATTCAGAAAGTCTTAATAATGACTTTCATCTTTGTAAATTTTCTGTTTATCTCACAGCATTTACTCCCGTTTGAACAGAAGGCGGTAACATTCCAGACACGTGTTTGTTACGTGCTCGCTTCGAGCCTCGGATACCCGCTATCCTGAGCTCTTTCGTGATTTTCCGGGGTCCCTCCAGGCAAAATTCTGTTAGAGTACTTCCGGCATAGCACAGGCAGTTCCTTCCAAATCCTTTCGAATTCATCAGTCATCAAACTATGCGATGTTATGTAGTCTGGATATTAACAGTTTCGTGCTACACGTCCCGCACGCCTCTCCTGCCATCTGGAACAGGAGCAAGAGTTGCCCTGGGTTTCTCCTGTTCCCTCGCCTCACCCCGATATTCCGTCTGGTCTTACAGAGACATCAGCTTTATCTCGGAGTCAGAATATTTGTAGTTTAATGTGAAATCAATATCACATGAGGGGAAAAAATGCAGATATTGCCAAACAGAATTCAACCTCACATTAAGGGGTACGAGTAGAAGGAACATATTGGTTGTACATTCAAGATATGCCCTGTTCCAACGTTCCGTCCTCCACGGGGGGAAAAGTAACCGTTTATTTATTTCCTCCAGTCTGTCTCTGTGTCTCTTTCTCTCTTAGCGTGTCAGAAAATGGGGTAATGCCCATGACGTTTTGTACTCTGTACTAAACATACAGCATCTTCCTCGATAAACTGAGAGACATTCAAGGCACTGATGATTTAAACCTAAAAGTTCACTACAGCATTCACAATAGCTTGCCACTAGATTATTTCAGAGCCTCATCCGTCGCTTATAGAACCTTACTTTTTCTTGTTCTTGATGGATCCCGTGTAGAGACGGGGTTCCAATACCCCCACCGTAGCCCTGTGAGTCGTAGGAGACGATGAAAAGTAAGTCTCGAATCTGAGACAGTAAAATATGATCGTGAGTCACACGGGACTCGGACCCGAGAATGACTGCGCTGGCGGGGATCAGCAGTAATTGTAAACGACACACCCGCCCTCTCGTCAGAGAGAGCGCCCCACATCAACAAACTTGCAAGTGTCTTACAGTATTAAAGATCTGGTCTTCAGACCCAGATTTCTGCTTTATTCCAAGATAGACTGGCTGACTGACCGTGGGACGTAACATAAGAATAGACTCGACCCTCTGGGCTATTCCCGTTCAGACGTGATCTGAAAATTATGAATCTTACTGACAGTCGGTAAGACTCACTGGACGAGGGATCAGCCCATCGCAAGCACAACATAGACAGGCGTCAATACCTCAAGTGGGATTCGAACCCACGATCCCAGTGTTTAGATGGCGAAAGATTTGTGCCTCAGACCACCCTGACAACCTCAAACGAAATCTTCTTCTTCTGTGACCAGCCAAATGCTGGGTAAGTGATTATTCATCTGTGATCATGCTGTCTGACGTCATATAGCTAGGATACTGACAAGAATTACATATACTGTGTACTCTGAATGTCTGAGTAAGGCAGCAGCACAATTAACTAACTACACACAGACAAATAAGTGGTATGTACCCTGAAGATGGAAGTAACATGTCCTTTCGAATTGCCGATTTCGCAACAAGAAGATAACAATATAGAACATCCATTCAGATTTTATGACTAAAATGTTATTCTAATTTCCTGCGTCTCATATGTGTTATACGCGAAAAAATGCAAATTTCAGGGTGTCACAACCATGACTGAAGAAAATATACTCTAGGGTGTGATACAGTGTAGTAGAATACATTTATACCCTGAAGATGGAGGCATCAGATTTATTCAAAACGTTTATAAATACCCACATAAATTTCATAACGTCACTTCCTGGAAAATAATAATCTTTGATGTTAAATTCGTATCAAAAGTTTAATTTCCATGTTATTTATTTTTGACGAGTCGGCAATTGACATAGCAGTAACACTCTAGACTCATATTCGTTATGTGCTCGGTTCGAATCTCAACCGGAACACTTCCAATTCTAAAATTTTCCATGGTTTTTCTCAGTCCGTTCCAGAAAATGTTAGAATAATACCTCGATTGAACCACTATCGATTGTTTCAAAATACTTTACAATTCATTGTTAATCTAACATCCTGTCATTCGACAGTGTACAGTCTAGCTACTGGCATCGTCCTTAAATAAACAACAAGGACAATAATTTGTTTATAACGTGGATTTGTTCCCTTCTTGTTCCCAGCTGCTCGCCACGGAACCCAACAGAACCTAGAAGAGCCATGAGAACCGGAATGTAAACCTTTCAAAGAATTCGCGACCAAACAGCCCCTTGGCACGATACGCTCTAGACACGACGTCTGCAGCGGCGAGCGTATCAACATCTGACCTTTGTTACACGTTACACGAACATTACGTCAGACATGGCCTGTCAGAAGGCTGGACCCGTTCAGGGGGCAGACAAAAACAGTTGAGGGAAGATCTAATCGCATACTTTCCTTGCGTACGACACGGACCGCATAGAAAAAGACGCCTCCAACAATTCTCCGTTGCCGCGGGAACGTTATTACCGAGTTCTTGCCTATCAATAAGAGGGGGATACACAGACACACGCTTGCAACAATTCTGATATTATTGCCTGTATTATTTTCCGCGGGAATGTGTTTACTTAGCCGTTGCCTAGCAATGAAAGGAATATACTAATCGAGCTTTTGTCTAACAACTATATGAAGGACACATATACAGACACAAAGACTGATAGGAGGGATTTATTAAATGCACCGTTGATATGGGCTCAGGTGACATGGCCTTCATATAAAATTATATACAGACTGGTTCAGGCATTCGGAAGTTAATAAAGGGGATTCACAAACACACAGAATGAAGATCATAATGCTATTGATACGGACCCGTTCCAAGAGGATGAGACGGGCAGGGCAAGTAGAACACATGGGGAGGAGAGGAATGCATATAGGTAGGTGGGGGATAATATTAAAATGAATCTTAAGGAGTTAGAATGAGGTGATATGGACTGGATAGATCTGGCTCAGGATAGGAACCAGTGGAGGGCTCTTGTGAACACGGTAATGAACGTTCGGGTTCTACAAGGGTTCGCAAGGGTTCGGCTCCATAGAGTTCGTTAGATATGGGCTCATTAGAATTGGTCATCGAGACTCGGTTCTATCCTGAAGATGGAGGAACCATGTTCCTGCCATAAGAATTTGCCTGAAGGAACTGAGCAATACAACGGAAAACCACAGAGAGATCCCATAGTGTCCCGGTCGATATTTGAACCGAGGACATCCTGAATATTAGTCTAAACCCATCACACGGTCCGGTATGGACACCATAATTTGTCCCACAATAAACATACGAACTTAGCATAGCCTTACGCAGATCCAGTGCTTATTGTTCTAGTAAATAGTTTCACTTCAGGATATCAACCAGGTAATGGTGTTCAAGAATCCAAAATTACGGCGAAATATTAGTAGAAATAGCCAATCCGTCATCATGTTGTCCCTTTCAGCCTCCACCGTTCTCCCACCAACTCTCAATTTTCAGGGCGCGTGCGCGAACTAGTTCCGTAGATATATCGTTATTGCTCTCGATTGCTTTTCTAATTGCACGGCAGTCTACACTCTGTGCTGCATGTTTGCTGATAGCAGCGATTATAATCGATTATCGATCCGTATTATTCAGGGATCCTCAACTGGTATGTCAAAACGGACACTACTAATTGGATGATGTGAAATATCGACGTGTTTTACGAGATATTAACTCCTTGTGTAACGCCCATTGGCAACTCAATGAGAAGTGTCACCATTTGTTAAACTCTACGAGGTTTCGTACTATTAACTTCCCCTGTTTTCTTCCGTATTACTTCCAAGTCTTATATTATCGAATGACACTTCGAGGCCGATGTTTAGGGCCCTCTTCCACGAATAACACGCAAATGTAATAAAAAAATAAGATGTAAGATTTGAGGCTTTCACGGCGGTGACTATGAAGAAAGCAGTCTTCTGGGATTTGGCACCGTGTATATGTGGTGTTAACCGACGTTTCGGAGGAATGTATCGCCTCCATCTTCAGGGTAGAAGAAAAAATATATAAGAAATCTGCGAAGCGAAGAGACCGTGAGAACCGGTAAAAGCAGACTGTGCACGGTTCTCACGGTCTCTTCGCTTTGCAGATTTCTTATATATTTTTTCTTCTACCCTGAAGATGGAGGCGATACGTTCCTCCGAAACGTCGGTTAACACCACATATACACGGTGCCAAATCCCAGAAGACTGCTTTCTTCAAAAAATAAGATGTCTACTATGCGTAGTACACTACATTTCACGTATACAACTGAAATATTATCGATACTCACAGAATAGACCCAATACTGTGAAACAAAAGACTGCACGCTAGTCCGTGACCTACTACACATCTTACATTTATGCAATATATTAACGCTTTAGAATTCACTGGTATGTTAAGTGGAGTTACGAATTTCTGAGCCCTTATATCACAGTTGCATTGCTTTTTAATGCAGAAGGAGAATCTTTCCAGAAGTTCCAT